TTTTTTTTTTTTTTTTTGAAAAGAAAAAAAAAGAAGAAAAGAAAAGAAGAATATAATGATAAATAAGAATAAGAAGGAGGAGCTGTGACCCGTAAATTGATGCAAACAGTTACTAAAATTCTAAAAAATTTTACGGAAAAGAATTGTTAAAAACAGCCAACTTGGCAATGAATATATTAATCAAAATGCAAATAGATGTTTTGTTTAGTAAGGAAATTTTACTGTAGTTAAAAAAGAGATACGCACAGACAAAGCCAAAAAAAAAGAAAAAAAAAGAAGCATTTGCTGAAGCAGTCAATCGGAATTCTTTCAATGCCAAATTATACTACACACTTCTTTTGGAATTTAAAAGTTTTTGTTAGATACTAAGAGAACCACAATTGACAAACCAAAATAAAATAAGGTAAAAACAAAACAAAAAAGCGAAGAATTGCATCAACCATTACTGCATCTAATAAACTGTAGCGGCAATAAATGGTTGTTGTAAATGAATGGCAGATATGCAATTTTCTACCATCCGTATAACTATTTTAAAAAAATTTATTTTTTTTTTGAATTAGGCATTACCTGAGATAACAATTTCTACCGTCTAACAGGCATGCAATTTTATTGCAATGTGGTGATGACGAGAATATAACCCTCTGTCAAGCACCAACCTGCCAAGGTTTTCTGTAATATCTAACTGCGTTTGATGGTGATGTTGATGATGGATAAAACCACTCTCCGTTGACATGAGATATGATTATTTGGTTCTTCTATGACTCTTATCCAAATATTAAAATATATATACATAAATATATATGATAGGTGTGTAAACAGTTATGTCAGCAGCACCAGCAACAGCACTAGGAAAAAAAAATAAAAATAATAATATTAATAGTAATAATAATAATAAAAATAAAATAAAAAATAAAAAATAAAAAAAAAGATGTAACATAGCAACAGTCTAAAACAGTTGTATGATTAAAACTGCTGAAAACTATGATTATCTCAATTAAGGTATTGTACAAAAGTCTTATTTGCCACCGAAGATCGCTTAAATTCACAGCAGTTTAATAGATAGAAATACGTTTCTTCCCATCCTCTTCTCAGTTATTAATTCCATTTTTCTTTCTTTCCCTTCTTCTTCTTTTTCTTCATCTGCTTCTTCTTCGTTTTCTTTTTAAAGTTCTGTTAAAACGTCAAAAAAAAAGAAGAAACCAATATCCCAATAACATAAGCTTCACTGTCAACTCCATCTTTCCTCTCCTATCCATTTTCCATTCTCCTTTTATCCGTGGTTTCGCAGATGTGATAAATTTAAATTAGATGATTAAGTAAAATAGCACTAGTAATAATAAAAAAAGCAACAAAAGTTTAGAA